TTTTATCTCTGCATGTGTGCCACCGTAGTATATAACCACAGTGTAATTGAATTGCAAGAGCTGGAGGACCCATTTTTACTTTTTCCCCCTATTTTTGTTTGGGTTTTGTAAACTGATGTTGGTTGCTGGTCAGCCTACACACGTAAATTGGAGCTTGATGCAGTGAGATGTCACCATTGTACTATCATAATCTATTTAAAACAAGGAAGAACGCTTTAGTCGAGTACCTCGACTATCAGATACCCGTTACTCAAAGGGAAATTGAGATATGCAAGCAGCAAAGCGAGATTAAAATGCGCCACCTACCGGCGGTAGACAGATTTAAGCGTTATGGGCGTTAGAGTGGGCGTGGAAAATTTATTTTTGGATCAATCGATAGGTATGAACGACACCAATACATTTCAGTTAAAATTTCTTATCCAGCATGCAAATTGTGGGCGTCACAGGTTTTCGCGGTTTGTGGGCGTTTAAGTGGGCGTGGCAAACTTTTTTTTAGGTCAATCGATAGTTATTGTTGAGAACAATACATTTCAGTTAAAATTTTCTATCTAGCATTAAAACTGTAGGAGTTACAGTTTTGGGCGGTTTGTGGGCGTTAGAGTGGGCGTGGCAGTCTACTGAAACAAACTTGCGCTGCGTAAGAAGCTCAGGAATCTGTACGCCAAATCTCAATAGCCTAGCTCTCATAGTTTCCGAGATCTCAGCGTTCATCCGGACAGACAGACGGACAGACGGACAGACGGACAGACGGACATGGCTAGATCGACTCGGCTAGTGATCCTGATCAAGAATATATATACTTTATGGGGTCGGAAACGCTTCCTTCTGCCTGTTACATACTTTCCGACGAATCTAGTATACCCTTTTACTCTACGAGTAACGGGTATAAAAATCTGGGTCTGGGAAAAATGTAAATAATATGATTTTCTAGTATAAGTGGCCTTCAAAGAATGTCACTTATGTTTGAAAATCCCTTTTTAATATTATTTTACAGAACTTCTGAGTTTTAAAAATATTGTTGCCTACTTTTAGACACCTTGAATGACATTTAAAAGTGATTCAAATAGTGATTTTTCTGTGAGGTACTTTTAAAAAATTGACCAATTGATAGCACGGATCTCATTTCAGGCCTATAGATATATTTTTCCCTGTGCATTTGAGGCCCTTCAACAAGCAACTGAAGATAGCCGACGGTTTATGACGTGTTTATTCGCCACAACAATTGCGACACAATTGTGCCACATGCAGTGACATTTATGTGACCAACTCGAGTGCGAGAGAGATGGATGGTTGGTTGGTGGGTCACGGGGGGAAACGGGCGAGAGTTGTCTATGAGTTATGGTTCTTCAAGCGGCAACTGCAACCGCTGCATGCAACGTTGACACATTTTACTGTGTGTGTGATAAATGAAGCATGCCAAGAAAAGCCAAGTCCAGGCACGTGACAATTGCGGCTGCCTTCGAGTGTTTGCTTTAATAGTTTGGGCCAGAAAATGGCTCAACCTTATGGATAGAGAGTCCATTTTGATGTTGCAAAATACTGAGCCAATTGTGCTTAATATGGCAGTAGGCTGACATATAACATTTGAGGTTTATGGGATTTATCAAGGCCAAATTACTTAAGTTGTCTAGTAAAATCATATTAATTTGTAAGTAAACTAAAATGGTGATAAGAATAATATTACGAATTAATTTGTTTTCTTAAAATAGCAGAACATATTTTTAAGAAAGAATTTAACAACCATCTTAGCTTTATTTGAATGTATTTTACCTCCATTAAATCCTATAATTAATCCATTTTATTCACCAAACCGGATTAAAATAAATAGGTTCAATAGAGGTAAGCACCTGTCCTATTCAAATTCAAATCTGTACAGATTTTAGGCTTTCGACTTGAGCTAGGAAAATTGATTTTATTGAAAATGAACCTGTAAAAGGATTCTAGTTTGCCAGATGGTGGCGCCAATTTAAAGCCCGAGATGGAATCTCTTTTCGGCTGGTAACTCCTTGCCAATTGAACAATAAAGTCATAATACTCTTTTCGTGTTCTTCCTCGCAAGCGCATGGAAAGGCTGTGTGAGCCGGGCTAAATGAAATAAAATGCAATAAAATAACAACTTAACACCTTTGGCGCAAAATAGACAGAGCGAGCATAAAAGGGAACTGCCATCGGAAGACCCCGAACCCCTAACAACCACCCACAGCCCACCACCCACATCCCACTATATCCTTACAATTCACCCACACAAGTGCGCAGGCAATGCAAAAAGCAAACCGTAAGCGCAGACTAAGCCGATTATAGCACGAAAGTAACGGCAATGATGGGAGTTTTGGGAGTTGGGGATATACACTGGAAACATAACTACTCAAGAAAATAAATCATAAGGTAGAGTGGAGTTCTTACTTTGAGGAATTATAAGAAATATAGAAACAGCTTAAGAATTATAAACGAGATTTCAACTACCATTTAAGGAATAAATCTTGAGACAGGGTGAAATTTTAACTTTGAAGAGTAATTCGAAATATAGAAGTACATTTAAAATTGTAATCGCGGGCTCAACATGGATTCTAAATCAATTATGAAGACATCTAAATGTATGCAATAAAATTTGCACATGCACATTCATTCCTTATGATGGCGTTGTTATTTCACTGCATACTTTTAGACACCTTTGTATGTGATATTAAAACCCTGTTAATAAAACCCATAAAAAATATACAAAATAAATATTAAGACTAAATAATGAAATAAAAATAGAAGTCTTGGTATAAATTTAATTAAAATGGTTTATGGTTAATAATAAGTTAATTACTAGTTACTTGACTATTTTTCTCAGTGGAGTGTGAGCAGTGGGGGAGTTACTTGGTAGGAAGTGCGTGGCGGGCGGATAGAGACGGAGACACAGTTATAGACAAGGACGGACTAGGAGTCAGGCAGGCAATGAATTATCGCACTAGCTGCGCCAGCAGTCGAGACAAAAGTGTTGTAAAAATGTAGTACTATTAATTTTCTTTGCATATCTTATTGTATCTTCATAAACAGACACGCACACAAGCCAGTCTGGGAAAATAGAGAAAAGGCAGTAGGATGTTCGGGCTGGGATAGCCCTCAGGAAACTGGCTTAGTGCTAAGAGATTTCTAATTCAGTTGAGCAGAAATAATTACTTACCGTAATTGTTTGCCATATAAAACTGTAGCAAAATACCACTGAGATCTCTGGAATTGCTCCCCCTTTTACCCCAATGTTTTTCTTTTCAGACAGTTCGGTAAAAGGATTCCAACATCTTTGGCTCATGCGTAAGAGAAATCTTAAATCTCTCCCTGGGAACGCTATCTTGGGCTTTTGGCAACTTTAATAATTTTTGCAAAATTTATTCACTTGTTTACTTTTAATTTATCTACCGCACACTTTTAGTTGACGCGAGTGCAAATTAATGCCCTTTCATTTTGTGCTTTATGTGAGCATAAATAATTGTGCAAAGGCAGGCACAAATTTGCGTCGATTACAATTTTTAATTATTTTTTAATGAACTACGAACGGCAAAAAAATATTGACAAAAAAGAATATGGACGCTGAAAAAACCTGTCCCTTACATTATAAATTTATGCGTGTTTAAAGTGAATTTATTGCATGTTTAATTGTGGATAATGTGTCAGACGCAGTAGCCAGCAACCATCTGAAATCCCTTTTCATCCCCTGGACCTCCGGTGGGTAATGAAAATTTTCACTTTTATGATCTCAGCTGGGTAGTTGATGCAGTAATGAAATCATGGCGCTCTGGCTTGAGTTGGATTAATGTGGGATTGCCCGCTTATCAGGGATCTTGGGGAGCTCTTTATCACTCAGTTAAGAACTGAAATTGCTTGCTGAAATTATAGTAAATTAATTTAATTTTTTATTTCTTTAAAGTTTGCCCTTAACTACTATTCTATTGCCGTGTTTATGCGCAGACTATTAGGAAAAGCAATGCCAAAAATTGATGTGCTTATTGCAAAACAAGTTTATGTTACAAGGAGTTCCATGCCAGAGGTTTAATTCCAGGAAAAACCACCTCCTTATAAATATATTTTAAAATAATTCTTTCCAAAATAAATTTCTTGAGTAAAGCCCAAAGTTTAAAAAAAAACAACATTTTTTGAGCATAACATTAAGAGACTTTATTTAAGTATAGACACATCAATTTTAAACAAGATTAATATGTGAGATAGAATATTCTTATCTAAACAATACATATTTAATATGTCCAAGTAAGTTTCCATTTACAAATGATACTCTAAACATTTTCTTTTTTACACATTAAAATCTCTTTTCTCTAGAGCTCTTCTCCACTTTTTTAGAAATACCTCTCCAAGAAATACTACTAAAGAGGTGCTATAACCATAACGAGTAAGTACCATAGCCACTGAAACTGTTCGATGGAAAGAGCCCTTTTTTGCCCGTCGATATTGGGAATAATAGTTTGATTTACTTTCTTTTCAAGAATTTTGGGAATCCTCTTAAGCCAGTGCTGGTAAATTCCAGACTCTTGCATATTCGTCAAGAATCTGCTTAACGGTCTGTGATATAAGGAATTATTTGCCAGAATATGCATTCTTGGTAAATTCTCAGCAACGATTAATTCTTTCGAGGAGCAGTAAGGTTGCACTCCTCTGGATCGCTGATAGGCGTCAATAGATTGCCAATTGTCGTAAAACATGATTGTTGCGTAACTGCCATTATGCAAATATAATAGTTTTACTCTCTCAAAAAATGGCAAAATCTTTTTTCTCGGCATATAGCGTTCATAAAACTCGGTATTGAGCTCCGTACTAATAAAATCGTTTGTTAATTCATCCATGAGTATAACCAGTCCACTTTCCCGCAGCTCCTCAAAATTCGTCACTTGGGGTCGATGAAAAGGCTTTGTAAGCATGGCACTTAACTTGCAGTTTATAAAGCTGCTGAACACCATTCCGAAAATGATAATAGCCAAGAAAAGTTGACGTAGCGAAAGGCTTGACCTTCGGGGTTCCGGGAATGGTAGGCCCAAAATGGCTCTAAAAGCGTATAGGTTGACCAGTGGGTTAAGGATTGTCAGGCGGTGTGCCTTTCCAGAAATCCGTAGAGTTACCTTAATAATAAAGACCTCTATCAATACGCAACACACATAGACAGTTATAATGTACGAAATCCATTTTTGAATACCAGATTGCTGGAGAACATCCTGAAAACTCATATAGTTGCCGCAGGGAACCACAACCACTAGCGACGAGGAACAGAATGGGTTCACATAGTCCGTAAGCCCGGAAATATCATTTTCGGTTATGACACGTTTTCTTAACTGAATATCAAAGTGATTCTTGCCTGATGAGGTTTCCTGTAAGAACTGCAAAGTCACGTTGTATTTAAGTGCAAACCCAATGACATCCCAGTCTTCGATTCGGGTAATAGGAAACTTTAGTAAGTTTTTATGTTCTTCTCCCGCTTTTAGACTCCAGTTATAATCGTGCTTTATAGTAGCAGTCTTTCCTTGAAAATTAAACTCTGAATCTTTGAAAAAGATCCATTGAGCTTCCAAATATTTTCCAGTCGATAAAAATGAGCATTTGGAAAAGGATTTAGGCGATGACATGACAATTCTCCCTTTGGGTTATCTTTTAGCACATCAATATTAAAAAGTTAAAGTCTGTGGATTTCTTGGAGATCTGTTTGAGAAACTCCTTCGTAGGCTTTATTTGCGTCCACAATATTATTCTCCGTTGTCTCATGTTGTCAAAGGCCTCAGCCACTTTATCTAACAGATCAATGTGTGAACTTTTTCCAATGCAGACAATAGCCATCGCGCGACTATTAAATGTACCTTTCATCCTGACCATTTCGAGATCGGTAGTTCGTATAATGGCTATTCCATGGGGATTCCAGTGCTGAAGAGAGCAGTTGTTGTTTAGATGGTGTTTGAAAATCACAATTGTTTTCGTTCTTTGCACTTTGATTATGCTATGAACAATTCTGCTCAGATATTTGAGCTGTGGGAATTCAGTTTCTTGAAAAAGCGCTGGTCTCAGAAGAAGAACTATAAAAATTAATTTGACTAAAGGCGACATTGCCCTTGTAGTTTGTGTTGCTTCTGCTTCTAAAGGAAGTTTAGCCTGTACTAACTAGAATCTATTTTTAAAGTGCTCACCAACTCAAGGGACTATCAACTAATATATCTCAGATAACAACTGTCAGTTTAGCAAAGCTTTTGTTCTCTATAATCTAAGAGACACAAGCCATATAACAATAACCCTGGAAATTGTACAATTGAACGAAAAAATTTTCTTCAATAAGCATAGCCTTAGTCATTTAACCCGTTACTCGCAGAATAAAATTCGTTGGAAAGAATGTAATAGCTAGAAGGATCAGGATCACTAGCCGAGTCGATCTAGCCATTAACTCAGAGATCTCGCAAACTATAAAAGCTATAAAGTTTGGATTTGGCATACAGATTCTTGGGATTCTTGCGTAGCGTAAGTTTATTTCAATAGGGTGCCACGCCCACTCTAACGCCCTAAGCTTTTAAAGTGAGCAATCTTGGAAACAGTCAATTTGCTGCAGGCATATCTCCATCTCCCTCGCAATCCATTTAGCTGAGTAACGGTTATCTAATAGTCGAGGTTAGTTGCAATAGCTTTAAACAGTTGGAACTTAACTAAGTACTTCGAAAGCACTTTAGAAATGTTTCCCCTAAATTATAAGCTTTTCTGTCAGCTAAGATAGCACCTGTCAAATGTTGTGCAAAATTAATTAATTAACTTAATTGCAATTTACTAATTTGAAAGCTTGGTATTCTTAAAGGTAAGCCCCTTTAGTCTCTTGCAATGGTAGTTGGGACTGAGAACATATTTGTGGTTTACATTTTAACAAACTTTTTGAGAAAAATTCCAAAATCACAAAAGTAAACAGCGTTTTTATACACTTTCACAGAGTAATATAACTAGTTGTATATTTTGCTGGTCGCCGAGAAATAAGTATTAGTTTGATTTTGGTTATTTGTGTCACAAATCAAATAGTGCAACGCCCAAGGCATCGAAATAGCTTTCTACTGTATAGGGAAATAATCAAACTCAAAAAATGAAAACAAGCAAATCCGATAGCTTTAAATTTTCAAATCTACATTAAGATAAATGTTATTGCCTTTCTCCAGCTGCTGATCTGGGAATGTTTTCCCCCATTTGCGCTTTATGGGTCAGCTGTGCTGCCATTCCCGCTCCATTTGTTTGTGCAACAATTGAGATCTGTTCGGTTAACCGTTTCCATTTGGCCACTGATCGACGTCGAGTGGACCGGCAGCATTTAAGTCTATCGATAGAGTCGACCGAGCGACAATTTTCCTCGGCAGCAGCGCTTTTCCTCGGCCAAAATGATCAGTTGCCTGTGCAGTCGTGTACCGTTTGCTGAGCCGTTTGGAACGCGAGCGCCGTGAGCGCCATTGTGAAAAGTGAAAATGGATTTTCCGCCCTGGGCAGTCGATGCGCTTGGGCCGCCCGAGCATGTGCCGTCGCCTGTCAGCGTTTAACAAGTGTTTTCCCCAGATTTTCCCCACCCCCTAGCCGCCATTCCCAAAGAAATTATGTTGGCGTGGGCCAAGCGGAAATGAGAAAATTTCATTTTAACAAATATTAATTGTCATTCAGTGTCAAATCAAATTGAAATACGTGTGTGTGTGCTTCTGTGTAATTGCGTAAATAATCTTTTAAAACAACTACTGAACGTATATGTGCATGACTTATAAACAGTACAGTGGAAATTGCATTAATAATCCAGAACAAAACCCTTCAAGTTCTTCAAGTAAGTTCAAGCTAAAAAAAATGCTTCAAAAAAATATATAAAAATAGGTTCTTTGTTTTCCAAAAATCATTTAAGGTAATTTTCTTTAATGTTAGAACTACAAAAAGAAAAAAGCACAAAGATAAAGAGGAGATCAAAATAATAATAATATCAAAAATGTTTCTTTATTTTTCGTAGGAATAACAATTGTAAACATTATATTAAACAAAGAACATGGTGCAATGATTTATTTTTTATTTTTGAACAATAAAAGTTAAAAAGTATCCAGACTTTAGGAGTAATTGTTAGATAAAGCACAGAACATGTATTATTTTTGCTAAATAATCTCTTTTCTCACTTTCAATAAATTTTGTTTTTCCATTTAGGTAAACAATTCCATGAAAATTAAACCCAAAGAGGTACATTTAAAGAAATAATTCATAAAAACGCCATGAAAGCGTTTTATGAGCGATCACTGTAAATACTTATTACACATTTGTTATTGTTTGGGCTTCTGCTAAGATACACACGATTAACTCGCTCAACACCTCAAGGCGGGCCTGTCGCAATCAATTTTTGTCGCCTGTCGCATGCCATAATAGTTTCACTAATTTTGAAATTTATTAGCCCCCCTCGCCGCGCTTTACATATCTGTTTTATGTGTAGTAAACCGTTTTTATCACCTCCACGGGCAGTGGGATGGAAAAGTCGAGCAGTTCAGAGAGCACACGGAAAGTGTTTTGGAAAATCTTTAGCAGCTAAGCAGACAGACAGGGAAAAACGTTCCAAAAATCTAGGAAAAACATTAACCCGTCCCTGGGCGACGGCACCTCTATGGCCGGAATGTTTTGGATCCGCTGCTTGATCTGACATCAGTCAATGTCAGTTGGCCCAGTGCCAGGTCGACTGTGTGGGCGGCGACAAACAAACAATCGCCTGAGTAAAGGAAAGTGCACCTAGTAGGAAAGTCTCTATAAGAGGTATACTTCTATGATCTATCCGAAGATGAAACTGAGAGTACATACACTCCCCATATTTTTCTGACCATGGGGCTTGTCATTCTCGGCTAGGAAAACACATTTCAAGTGGTTTTTTGTCTCCACGCATCAAGTTTCAAGTGTTTTGTTACGAACCATATTTAAATCGTTAGCAAAGCTTTCCGTATGGCACCTGTTACAGAATTAAATGATCTTAAGAACTAATAGTCAAGTCAAATAAATTAATGGTATTTTTAAAGTAATACTACCAATTTAAATATTAATAGGTATGCTTAGTTTAGGTGACCTTTGTATTATATATGAAGCCTTTGGTTAACTCAAAATATTTAACATTATATTCTTAAAATTGCTATTTTAAAGAAATTTCCAAAGTATTAGTGCTTTTATAATTTATTTAAATAAATATTTTTTAACGCATCACAAAATTAACAACCCTCTGGTTCTGAAACGCACTGTACATATCTAAACCTGTTAATACGTATTGCCATATATTCCGGCCCAATTGCTAACATATGTTCAAACGTCGACAAAAGCATGCCAAATATTCATGGCATATTTTTTGTTTGTGGCATTTTTTTGTCATATAATTCTAATTTCTATTAATTTCTGCCGCCGACGCCCGCCAAAAGAATAAATATTTTAACACATTTTTTTAAAGAATTCTTTAATGGATTTTATTGACTGAGTTTTTGGGCCTTTAGGTCGGGGCATTGGCAGTGGCCAAGAGCAAAATTTATTATACATTTATCATTTAAGTATCATTTTTTGTGCCTTTTATTTTTGTATGTCTGTTTTACTTCACATTGAAAATGTTTATGATTTTTTCGCTTTGGATTTCTGAACTTGTGCAACAATTGGCAAGATACGAAATGTAAATTCAACAATGGCATAAAATCTGTGCCATCTGGTTGAAGGCTGTAAACTTGAACGACTTATAAAGTGGGTCAGTGGTTTTGCTAACAAAATGTAAGGGAAATAATAGAATTTATTTCTTTTATTTGTATATTGTTTTGAACTTCCATATATGAATTTCCATTTTATAGCCATTATACTCGACTGCATCATTTCCGTTTTCGAATCTCGTGCCAAAAGTAAGAGCGTCATGCACTTGGCCAGACCAGAACCCCCAGGTCTTCCGAAATCCCCATTCCACCTCCATTTCTGAATTTTCATATATGATAATCATACAGAGGCGCGGTTTTTATCTATTTAAAAAAAAAAATTCGGGAATATGTGCAAATTGCGCAGCTGTCTACTCGTGAATCCCAAAATGCAAATTGTTCTCCGAAACATAAATTATACTGTTGGCTTTCCTGGAATTATTCTGATTTGCTTTTTAATTGATAGATTTAAATTTTTGGCTATCATTACCCGAAACTCAATGTTTGGAAAAACATTAGCACATTCTAAATATATGTTTATTCGGCTCTAATTAAACGATTTTCAAATAAAGTGATACAATGTTTTCTCATAAAGGGCAAAGGCCAATTAATTGATTTGTTTATCTCAGTTAATTTAGATATTAATCTTCGGAAACATCCATTACATTGATCTGGCGCCCGTCTTTTAAGGTGACGTCAATGAGAGCCCTACAAGAGAATTTATTTCGAATAGATATTTTTAGCTATATTCCGTTGATTCCGCTGGTTGGAAGATCTGCGGGTCTGTGTTTTATTTTATTGCTGCCTATAATTGGTTCGTTTATGTGCGAAATGGAAGAGAGCATCCTGAACTTGAAATAGAAGCATGGAAAATGAGAAGAAAAGGGGAGTTTCTATGGAGGAAGATGCACTGGGATTATGATGTTGTACTTGGTGCAATGAGATTGGTTTATTTTTGGACTGTTCGCTGCAATTTGAACTTTGGAAAGACTAATGACTAAGGAGTGGCGCTGACTCAAGTGTGGATCTTTGAAAGGGCACTGGAAAAAATATAGGAGCAGTGAAAAATTAGATATCATAATATTATATGGCATACTTTTAGGAGTTAAGCTAAAAAATAAATCACCTAAAAGGAGAAAGATGAAAGAGCTAAGAAAATAGAAAAGTTTTACCTCCCAAAAACACGTGAGATTTTCCAAATTAGGCAGACAATGTCGATGAATAATTTTAGCCATCCGTTTGGGATTATTCAAATGCCTTCACAGCTGTCGAATACCTCAATTCTGAGCTCTGGCTTTCAACAATGTACATTCTACAATTAGCAAATTGTTGTTGCTCATCGGATGACACATAATGACGCATTGCTTTGGCCCACAACAATAACAATGGCAATGGTTCGGCAGGCAAACTGGCTCC